CGATGAAGCTGCTTTTACTCAAGCAAAGGTTATTTTCCGCTATCTAGCTATGCTTTTAGTTCTTGATCTTCATCATTCACTCCCCACAGGCACACACTCTTCATAAGGGTGAAGCTGCTGAAGACAGACCACTCAGGATCTTTCTCATCACTCAGGGTCCAAGGCGAGGGCTACACAAAGAAGTTATCACAAGAACAGCCCTGTGGGGCCCTTGGAGCAGTTGTCCATATTAGCCTTCAGGGATGGGACAGAAAGTAGTGGGTAGGGGCAGATATGGGATCCATTCCTATCCAATCCAATGGCCATAACTATCTACACAAACAGTAGGACAGCAAGTTCTTGCAGCACCCATTAGATGCGGGTGAATCATGAAGCACTTGGCCCTTTCGTTAGAAAATAGCTTTTGTCTTCTCAAGAGTTACCTAGCGTCTCAAGCTGAACTCACCTGGGTTGGCAAGACGGCTGCTAGTAGGTCCCAGAATTTGATAGGGATCTGGACAAAGAGAAGAAAAATATTTCCTTAAACCTACCACACAAAAGAAACCAAGTTCTTTGCTATTTTTCAAGAACTGTCCAAATTTCCATTTTCCTTCTTTTGTTCTGCTCCCATCCCCTCCCAGGAATCAGGGCCTGGAAAAATCTCATTTTCCCTTTGTGTGAATAGCCACAAATTATTTATGGAGTATTAAATGACGCAGATGTTCTTGCACTGTTTTCCTAGAGTGTCCCACTTTTACAGAGCAAAATCCCTCTGGACACAGGCCGCACTTTCCCTGAACGAGCTACAATGCTTGGTTGCAGGAAAAGGGAACCTCAGGACAGCACAGCACTAACAGATCCCAGGTAAATGCATTTACCTTAATGGAAGGAGTTGGCCTACTTGCTGATATCAGTTGCATTTTCTATCTGTGTTGATTCCTTATTATCTGCTCAGTCTGGCTCCTATTCCAAGTCAGCCTAATCTACTCCTGATGAAGTCAATGGAGCATTGGTCCAGTTGAGGCATAGTTTACTCTACAAAGTTTTGCCAGCAAAACCTTGGTTGTGTTGATAAAACTCTGAGGATGACCGCACCCAGGCTGCGGTGGTGGCACAGCCCTCCTTTCTGCCAGGCTGATTACATTCCCTCTGCCAAGCAGAGTAAGGGCCATGCTGCCATCTGGCAGCCAGCAGAAGGTGTGTGCAGACACTCTCACGCCTTCTGCCAGCTGTCCTGTCCAAAGCTGGTACCCTCCCAATGTGTACTTTGTGCTCTGCCAGAAGTGCTGCTGCAGTGGAACTGCACCAAGCACATGGATGTGCATGTGTCCTGGCAGGTTGATGCTGGTGCCTGCTATCCACTGCAAGAACTTTTTGTGGTAAAGCCAGATGAGTATACACATGGTCTTACATCTTCTTTATGCTAATAGAGCATTGTCCAGCACATGTCCCAGTGAAGTAAATTGGGTTTTACTACTGAGTCCCGTGGGAGCAGGGTACAACTAACATCGAGTGCTTTTTTGGAAACCCCATTCATTAATCAGGAACAAATTTTTTTCTTTTTCACAAGGCAGTTCATTCCTGCTCTTCTGCTCGAATTTTTTTATTTCTCTTTGCTGTCCCCCCTGACTGTGGTGACTGTAGTTTAATAAATTTGCTTATGTCTGAAGTTACACCAAAGACAAACCTAGTCCTAGATAACCCTAAAATAGGGTCCAAAGAAGCTGTGCACAGCATGGAGATTGGCGGTTGACTTGTCAAAAACCCCTCCAGCTGGAAGCATCGGTCCTTGAAGTCTGATAGACCTTCATTTTCTTAATTATGGTACACTGTTTTGATGCTCGTGTAGCTCCTGTTGACTCTCTTTGGAGTCGCCTCCAATTTACACCAATGTGTGAGAGGTCAGAATTCAACCTGCTGACTCCTTATGATGGTGAGAGAAGCAAGTCTTCAAACTGCCTCACGACCCAGTATGTTGCCTGCTGTAACGTCCAATGTTCAACCAGCTGACTAGAGAGTCTGGCCTCCGCAGATGACTACGCTGACACAGGGACAGCTCTTTTAAATGGGGAAAGGGCAACCCATGAGCTGATAATCTATTTATTTCTGTATTTATTTTTGGCTGCAGAGTGGGGCAAACTCTGTTGGTGGGTGGTGATAATCTAGTATTATTCCACAGATGATTCAGTATTATTCCAGTGAAACCTCCCTGTACATGTAGCTCGCTAGTGTGCGCCTATGTATCCTGTGCCTACGATGGACCCTACTTGATATCTGACAATAGCAGAAAGGGGGGTACAGATGTTTATTGAACAGCTGGGACACACTTGACATAGTTACCTGGTTGGGGTCGTTGTTGTTCTGTCTTATTCACATTTTGTGTCCCTGCAACAGGAGGGCCTGTAATAACAAGGAAAGCAAGATTGTAGAAATTGTGTAAGCAGAGGAGAAGGAACAAACAGGGAGCTAGACAGACACTGTGATACATTCATCAACATGAACACATCAGCGAAGCTGGGCAGAAAACAGGTTTTCCATTCCAAAGGGAAGATGAGATTTCAAGCGTTTTCCCTATTCAGAATCAGGACAAGAAGTTTCTCAAAAACTTTCATAAACTCAACCCCTCCCTTCCCACAAAAAAATTTCAGACCAGGTCGATTGAAACAATAAGTAATCTTGACCTTTTTATTTTCATTTGCTATGTTTGTGCTACATTTTCTAAACCCAAAGTTGTTTTGAATTGAAAAAGGGAAGTTTTCATTTAGAAAATAGCAACATGGGATACGTTGATGATTTTGAAACAGGAAACGCCTTGAAATCAATCTTTCCCTGCAACCAGTTTTGGTTTAAAAGAAATATTTTCTGACTAGAAATATGTAGTAAAAAATTCCCAACCAGCCCTGAAAATCATTTCACTCCTCGATATCTCCCTTCCCCATTCAGAGCAGCCTGGTACAGAGACCACCTTATAGAGTGGTCTTCACATCCAAATCAAGCAGGCTTCATAAAGCTGAAACAACACAACTGAAATACAGACTTTGGGTCAGATACTTCTATCCTCACCTGACCTCAGTAATATCCTGGTCAGGGCCAGATCATGGCCCACCCTCCATAGAGTGGAGCTGCACAAAGGTATCAGCTCCTCCCCTGCCATTTATATTGCAATGGTAGAAGGAGACCAGAATATGGCCCAGAGCCAGTTAGCTATGCCAGAGAGGATAAAAGTTGTAAAAGCAGGCAATACACAGCTTTAAGGACAAATCTATCACCTGGGGTCAGCAATGAACCGAATCCTTCTGCTGGGCATCTCTATACTAGGATCTCATAGCACTTTATAAATATCAGATGTCAGTTCCTGCTATAATTTCCTATTTGGGTAGTACCTCATTCCATGGATAGTGCCCCATAACAGCAATCAAGTACTGATGTAAGGCATTATTATCTGTATCAGAATATAGTCCAAGGGGAGTTAAGGTAGCAGTATTTAGTCTTAAGACAGTAAGCTTCACAGGAGGTTGGAGTAGCTATCTGCAGGGGTGGGTAATTATTTCAGGCGGAGGGCTGCATACTGAGTTTTGGCAAGCCATCAAGCACCGCATGACAGGCAGCCAGGGGCAGATAAATATTAATTTTCTAAATTTTTTAGGGGCCCCATGGGCTGGATAGAATGGGCTGACGGGCCGCATCTGGCCCGCAGGCCGCTTTCTGCCCACCCCTGCCTTATAGCCTGTCTAGCACTGGCCACCTTCAGAAACAAGACACTGGTCCTAAAGCATCACCGACCAAATTGGTAATTCCTACCTTCTTCACTAAGGCAACTCATTAATATAAAAACTAATTCCTATTTTTATTTTGTTGCATGTTTATGATACTGAGTGTCCCTCCACTCTCAGTCATTCTGATGCACGTAGACTAAGGAAACCAAATTCATCCTCTGCCCACATTTGAGACTTTCAGCACGGCTACTTACTTTTGGTGAGGCCGGAGTTCATGTTATTGCCCCATCCTGTTCTCCTGACTGCATCATAGGAAGGCTCTAATGATAAAAGACAACAGGCAGGAAGGGGTTGAGTTCAGACCATGCCAAGAAGGTTAGGCAAGGGACTAATTTTGATTATGGCTCTCAAACGATTCAACACGTAATACTGTTTTGGTTCCCTTGTCTCTCCACCCCTGCTTGTGCCCGCTTAAGTGTGCCATTAAGCATTTTGAGGCAGGGATGTTGACATGCTTATGCAGTTCTATGGTGCCATAGCCTACTTCACCTCTAGGTACTGCCACAACATAAATGTTAAATATGCGGCCTGGCATGGGATAGATGAAGCTCTAGAGGGATTATGAAGTGGGTGGGAGCAGTAAGAGTAAAGGTGAGGTTGGATAATACTGGACCAGATAAATCCCTGCAAAAGGTATGTCAGGACCTGTCCTACACAGTCTCTGAGTGGGGAATGGCCTAGATGACTTGATACTGTAAGACATTTTTGGAGTGATATCTTTTATTAGACCAACTGCATGGTTGGGATGAAGCTAGGCAAGCTTTCAAATGCAAGAAATTCTTCATCAGGTAACTCATCATTAGAGAGTCAACATTTCCCTAAACTGACAGAACATGCTATAGTCGTTTCCTTATACTTTTTAGAATGAATCCTTCTAAACATTTAGTAGTGACCATAATAAGACTTTTCTGACTCTTTCACTAGGATCCATGGACAGGCCTGAATTGTGAGTCCAGATTTTCGGGTGGTGGCAATCAGCGCAGCTCTACTGAAGGCAGGCTGATGGGCACCAGCTGAAGATCGGACCCATGATTGATTTTGCAGCTGCAGAAAACACCTTGAAAGGGACAAGGACACCTGGAAATTTCTAGCAAAGCACTGGGACTGAGACACAAGAAAGGAAGAAAAACAATGTGCTCTGATTGCCCAGCAAGTGACCGTTGGGGCTAAGATGCATTGCCAGAATCTGGCTGACACATTTCACAAATACTCTCTCTCTCTCTCTCCTAACTCTTGTTCTAGATCAAGGAAAGTGGCAGAATGAGCCATGAGGCGATTCAAGCAGCAGCAGGCAGGACTAAAGTCTCAACACATGCAACAAGGACAGAAATAGCCTCCGAGTTGAAATTAAATATAATAATCATGATCATAATACTCATCAGAACCCAAATTGGCAAATTAAACACTGCCTCTTCCCAAACCCTGTACACCAGTGGCTAAGTAGGAGATCAGCTTTGGCATTTAAAAGCAACTCAAGGTCTACTGTGCACCACCGCCAACTCCCTGCCCAGCAGGTAAGTCTGTGAGATTGAGGCAGACAAAATTATTTAGGGATGCACCTCCCCAGCAGGTAAGTCCCACCTGGCCAGGGCCCCACTCAGTTTACCCCTGCTCCTGTGGCACTGTCCCTTACCGCGGGGGCCTTGATCCAGCCCCTGCCCCTCTCCTCCCCTTCCCCACTGACTGACCTGCTGGGCTGGAGCGCACGCGGGCACTCAGCCCCACCACCCCAGCCTTGGATTGACTTCAAGAAGCTTTGAGATCTACCGCAAGAGGCTCCAAGATCTACTTGTGACCTCTGCTCTACACCAAATGCAGTGATCACAGGCACACAGGCCGGAAGATGACATTGCTCATCTTACAGTCTTCATCTGGGTTTGGAGAAGAGCAACAAGACAAGAGCAAGCCTCCTTCTGGAAAAACCCACATGCACTTGCCCATTCTGGCTGACTCTGGAAAGGCTTCTTCAGTTTTTAAAATTGCAGCCTTTTTGTTACTGGCATGAAAAGGAAAATGAAGAGGCTGAGAGAGACAAAGATAGAGTGGGGTGGGCAGGGTGAGGAAGACAGGAGAAAAAAGGATGCTTATTTAATTTACCTGCTTTTATTTTTATTTCACCTATTCTTCTGACTAGAAACCATAATCCCCTCTGCAAATAGACCAGACTTAAAAACAACCCACTGAGTGTACAGACTGGGTCAAAGAATCTGCCAAAGCACCTCTGGAGGAGAAGGACTGCAAGCCTGAGTAGACGAAGGCTGCCGCGGTCCCTGTCATTACAACAAGAGCAGGGTTTCCTGGCCTAGGTGCCTTCTCCCTCAGGCACCTGTGTTGAAAGATGACTTGCATCCTGGTGGTGTGGAGTGGACTGCTTTTCCCAGGCTGAGGCGTCACTGCCACTGATATGCTTCAGTGGCAGCCATCACTGTATACAAGCAACTATTGCTGTTGGCAATGGTTGACTTTTTCCTTGCTTGAACCCACAGGGACAAACTGCATCTCATCCTGTCTATACTGCGGGCCCCTAGTTACACCAGTAACAGAAATCAGGGCAGGACAGCCTCATCTGTACCAGAAGCCTCTTCCCTCCATTCGCTTTGTAACCAGTTGCTGCTTCTTTCCCAGCTCCTGCAAGCAGCCAGTGACTTTCATTCCTCCCCTTTAAAAGTCATTGGAAAACACGGAAAATTATATTTGGGTGGAAAATGGTTTTTCCCATTCCATGAGGATTTCCAGCATTGCAGAACATTTTTTTTTCCATCCTGAACCAGAAGCGAAAGACAAACTAGCAACAATTTGCACAAAGTCACAAACCAAAATGAAAAAAAAAATGTTTTAGATCAGTCAAAAAATGTCAGCACTTCTCAAATATTTTGTTTCAGTCTTAATCTTTAGAAAAATCTTTTTTAGTATATATTAAATTGAACTGCAAGCTGAAAAATCTTTTGCAAGAAACAGAAACTCTTTGCTCTAAAAAGTGCTAAAAGGGCAATTTGAACCCAAAACATTTTTTTTAAGTCATTAAATTCGCCAAAACCTACCCTTGCTAGTAAACAGCTTTGGTCTTTATGAACAGGTGTTTTATGGGGAAAAATGCTTTGTTGAAAATTTCCCTACCAGGTCTACATAAAAAAAGGCAGAAACTGCGTCACACAGAGGAAGGAAGTGACTTGCCCCAGGTTATGTGGAATCAGGGTGTAACCCACCTCTCGTGACTGCCTTTCCTGACTTTAACTGCTATGCGATTGTCACTGTAATTGTCCTTATCAGAAATTGTGGCCCAGCGTGGAGTGCCTTTACTCAATGGAATAAAGCTCACTGAGGATCTGGCCCTGAGAGTGCCTAAAGTGAGGATGCTAAGATGAGGATCAGTTTATGCTAAAGTGAGGATCATTTAACAGCCCCCTGAGCTGGTTTATTGCCCCCTTTTATTTCAAGGTTTACAAATCAGAAAAGGGTGGTGTGGTGACAGTAGCTAGGGTACTAACATAACACCTAGAAAACCTGGGTTTAAGT